TTTTTTTTTTTTTTTTTTTTTTTTTTTTTTTTTTTTCGGTTTTAGTGTTTGGGTGTGAAGGGGCACGTGTCCGAGGCCCAACGCCGGTTCCGGTTTTCAAAATTCAACGGGACACCCCCGTTTTTCCATTAAACGGGATTCAACGGGGGTCCTCGGGCCCGTTAAACAGGTTTAACGGCGTTCAATTTTGTCCATTCTCCGTTCATCGGACACACAGCTACAAGGGACTTGGGAAAAGTTGTGTTCACATCACCAGACCTGGCAATTGGTACCCGCACATCCCCTGGCCCCGCACCCTCCTCGGTAAAAGATGAGTTGGGAATTGTGCTTAGTCAGGAACCAATTGACTTTATAATGAACCGACTCTTGAGAAGCTCACAATTTCTATACCACGCATCATAAAAAATAGCAGCCACTCGTGAGTTCCGCATTCTGCTAGTGTTGTCATCAGCAGAAAAAAAAGCAGCAAGTGGACAAAGGCCCGTAAGAATCGGTGAGGGGGAGGAAAGTTCTCAATCATAACCAGTTGAATACCACAACATGGATCTTCCACTATCCAGCTTCCAGGCTTCTTCATCTCTTTAATTGCCACCTCTCTCTCTCTCTCTCTCTCTCTCTCTCTCTCTCTCTCTCTCTCTCTCTCTCTCTCTGTGTGTGTGTGTGTGTGTGTGTGTGTGTGTGTGTGTCTGTAGATGATGCAGCTGACATTCCGTCCCGCAACAGCCACTTGCAAATACACCAATCAGTCCTCTACTGCAAATTGCGGGATTTCATGCTGTGAAGGTTGGTACCAAAACACCAGAGCACCGCCGGCCTCCTGCTTCAGGTCGCTGGCACTGTCTCTTCAGCTGCATCCACCACCAGGTAAGTCGGGTAAGCATCTCCTTCTCTCTTCCTGCACAGGTATGATCCCTGTCTCTAGACTTGTCTAGGTGTGACGAACGAGACCGTCACTCTTATGAGGTGACGAGGCGCTGAGGTATTGTCTACCTACCTCTGCCTTGCTGCCGTACCCTGCGTCTGACAACACAGAGTTCCCTTGACTCTCTGACATTGTAGAGATGCTCTGCAGCAGCTGCTCCATGCTGTTTACCTCCGCCTCTAACTGTGCTACCTGCAACCAAGTGGAGTGGTTTTGTAATTCATATTATTTTCATAATTTAAAACTTTTTAATCTTTAATCAAAATGCCAAGCATCATGTCAACATCGTGTCAACCAACACCTCTCTGGCACCATGGTGAGACCTCAAATTTGCAGTCCCCTTTCGAAAATTGTTAAACATTTTAGTAATTTTTACTTATTATTACTAGTACCGAACTCTGAAGCATCATCTCACCACCATCTCAACACCTTCCTTCCCAAAAGCACACACATATCACACACATCCCATTGATTACCGTAAACTTAATCTGCAAACGGTGAAAAATGCATGACTTCCTGCACCCTATGAGCCTCCACAAGTTTCCATCCTTGTTGAAAGTTCAAACTCCAAATGAGGAAGCTTCAAAAAAGACACCACACACTTGAAGTTCAAACGCCCTGCCAGTGGCTTATGCACGAGGGTTGGGAGGTGTCCGGGATAGGGCCCAGGGAGGAAGTCCGGCAGGAGGCTTCACGGACTGGGTTCAGCCTACCTGTCGGCACAGCGGACCCACGCACACACAAGAATCACTCAAGACAAGACACACAACCTCGCCACACACACACCCAGGAGTATCACCCTGAACCGGAGCTAGCAGGATGCTGGCGCCAGGGCGAGTCCCCCTCGAACTCGGGGTCCTGCATCCCCGAGGCCCCCAGCCGGGAGGCAAGATGCACCACAGTCACCGGGTGCTACAGGGAAGAGAGTCACTCCCGCTAGGAAGGGGGCGAGCCCTTCGCTCCTCCCGTACGCCTCTTTACTGAGCCTGCTCCTCCCAGAGTCTTCTCCCCCCATGGCCTCCAGCAACCCCAAGGGGAGGCACATGCTCGACCATGGCGGGGACCCGGGATGCACGGTCGAGGAGTCAGCATCTGATGGGCACCCTAACGGGTGAATCCCCAATTAAGACCGTTACAGCACCCTATGTACATCCGTACCCCTGGGAGCATGCACACTCAGTGTCTGCGTGGTAGTGCGTCAGCCTAACGCCCTGCCGGTGGCTTATGCACGAGGTTGCGGGGTATTGAGCCCTAACCATGGGGCCGTCTGCCACTCAGAGTCACTCGGTCTCCATAGCATCAACAGACGAGTGAAGAATCCACTTGAAGAGAACGAAGAAGAATATGTTTTTTGGACTCAATTGTCGAGAGCAGCAACATAAATCCTGCAAGAAACAATCACGCCCTTCAAGGATCGGGTCTAGCATCTCCCTCTTCACTTCCATGGCCCGGGGCCTGGGGTGCGCAGACGGACTGGGCACCCCAACCTCCGCGTTTCGAGGCCATGACCGCAGGGGATTCGTAGGATACATCCGAGAAAGTCCGAAGTGTGAGTACTTTTGGAATGCAGCTTTACTTCAGAGCATGTAAGTCATGCTGCCAGCTTAGGCAAAACACCGGATCCATCAGCACCTTTTGGACTGAATTGTATGTTGCTGGCACGGCCGCCACATATATTCAGGAAAGTTCCAAGTGCAAGGATTTGGGTCCTCGGCAGGCCTAAGGGGCCTCTTGCTGCAGATGTGCCAGCCCTAAGTGAAGGCGGGCCTGACAAATCACTAGAGGCCCTATGCTGTCAATATCGTATTTGGGGTCCAGGCAGTTTCGTCGCATCAGTTGGTTGAGGAAAACACAGGCCGAGCAGCGAGACTTTCGACGGCCTTCCAGGCCTTTCCAAAATGTCTGCAGGCCCTGGACGGGAATCGCAGCCTCATACACAGACAGTTGGGAGGCCCAACCGAATGAGGCCCAGTAGCTGCACCAGAAGCGCAGCATCCTGGGGCCTACCGGAAGCTTCTGGGCCCCGGCTCAGGGCAGCCAGGCTGCAAAGGCAGGCCAGCTCTTTTCCATATAGGAATGAGCTCGCTGCCTGGCCTCTCATTGGGCACTTGCTGGCTGGCAGCAGCGCTGCTGGAGCTCATGCTCGCGTGCTGGCTGCTAGCGCTGGCGCAAGGTGCTGCGCACGTGTGGTCGTGTGTGGAAGCAGGACGCTGCTGAGGGCAGCGCCATAGCCCAGCCTCCATAGCTGGCTGAGGGCTTGGATGTACAGTGAGGCGCAGGGGTGATCTTCGGGTTTGAAGAGATAAGACGTGGGTGTCAGACAAGGGAGAGAGAGAAGGATGATGATGATGATGATGTGAGRGCACATACCTGGTATTGGCGGGGGTCTGCTACGGGCGACATCTTCAAGTACTTCGTTGGCTGCTGACGTCAACATTTGCATTGTCAATTAGTAGGCTGGTAGTAGCTGTGTAGGGAGTAGGCTGGGCGCCGAGCGCCAAGTAGGGAGATAGGGCCTGGATACTCATGTTGGTGATGGCGAGAGCAAGCTCTCATTGACATTGGTTTTCAGTGTTACTGATTCTTCATTGGTGTTATATTGGTGCAATGCTACTCTCTGGACACTGTGATACTATCTGGTCTTCAATGTGATTGTGCATTCTGTTTATTGTCATCTCGCTATTGCTCATTTTCCTTGCACAAGTGTGACCATACTATTTTCCTCACTGACCATGCAAGTACGCGAAAGCAGCAAACAGCACACCATCATCAATTGCGAGCATGGAACATGAACCGATCACACACACACACACACACACACACACACAGAGAGAGAGAGAGAGAGAGAGAGAGAGAGAGAGAGAGAGAGAGAGAGAGAGAGAGAGAGAGANAGAGAGAGAGAGAGAGAGAGAGAGAGAGAGAGAGAGAGAGAGAGAGAGAGAGAGAGAGAGAGAGAGAGAGAGAGAGAGAGAGAGAGAGCAGCTCTCTACAGTATACCAGCCGCTTCAGGGTTTCTCACAGTCACAACGTCAGATGCAATGTTACCTTGGCCACCTTCTTCGCAGCTGCTAATTCCCGAAGACGTTGCCCCTGCTTCTCCCTCAAAGCCGCTTTACGATTGAGTGCCTGCTCGTACACGTCAGCCAAAAAAGCACACGTGCTGCCAGCTAAGCCAAATATAGTCTGGTTTATTTAGGTCAACGGACAGAGCACTCGTAAGCGACACATGGTAAAACCAATCACCTAAATAAATAAACAAACAAACACACTAGCACTAATCAAACAAGCCTTTTTGTGCTCTGTTCATTTAACAGAGCACTAAGTGACACACACACTAACACTAATCGACAATCCTTTCTGTACTTCGCATGTCAATGTGTTTGTCATTTCTGTGGGAAGGAGCCTATTTAGGTGAACGGTGTTCACTGAACAGATTACTAAGTGAAACGCACACAAACACGTTACTAAGCATAAAAAAGTTTGTATAGCTTACTGAGGTCCTTCGCGCATAAATGGTAAACAAACAGATATGCAATCACCCAGGGGCTGCAAGAAAAAGCTTTCTGGAGTTTTTTTTTTTGGTACAAACAATCTGCCGCTGGATTCACTGCTCTTTGTGGTAAGAACATAAACGAATCAAAATAACAAAATTGCAATAACTCAGCTCAAATCTGCATTAGCTGTGGGCTGTAGGTCGTCACTTTTGGCCAAAGGCTCGAAACAGGGGTCAAAAGTCACGCCCTAAGTCATAGTAAAGCCTGGGCAAAGGCCCGATGTCAAGGGGTACCCAGGGCAAGGTCAAAACTGGTCTCCAGAGGCCCTACGTGCAACAATTGACTCTGGGAAAGTCAACGGTCAACCCCAGCACGGGAATCCAGGCCCAGCGGTAAAGTCAACCCGCTGGTCAGACACGGCTGTAGATCAGATGCACAGGTATCCAGAAGAATCTGGTCCAAGTGGGACACGTGGGAAATCTGCAACTGTGCGACACCCAGGCCATTGGCTGCCAATTGATCTGGGCCGTCGTACCCAGGAGACCAGAGGCTGGTCAACGTGAGTCAACATTATAGGTTGACCCAGCCTCTGCTTGAGATCATTCAGCCTTGTGTTAGCTTGTTGCTTGTGTGACGACGCAAGGCCTTGAGGGAGATTATGCTGATGCCAGATTCTGAGTGTGGGCGCCAGCCTTCAGGAAGATTATGCTGACGTGGCCATAGGCACATTGATTTCGACATTGATAGGAGCGTTGGCGAGGAGGAGGAGGATCTGGACTGTGAGATTGGTGTGAGTGTTGAGGGGGAAGCTTACCTGGACATACTGTGTCGTTGTGAGAGAGATGCTGCTCATCTCCAAGTGGATGAAGAAGATTTGCGCCACCCTCCCTAATTGGTCCTGATGTGGATGGAGGATGGGCGCCCTGCTGTGACCTGCTCATTGCATATGTCAGAGATCGTCAGAGAAGAACTGTTCTGCTGAGTTGGCGAGAGACGGAGATGCCCGCCGAGGAAGTGGGCATGAGGAGAGAACTATTGCTCTATTGATTCACGTGGGTACTCTCCTCCTCCTCCTCTCTGTCTTTTCTCCCCCTCTTCTCCCTCTCTTCTCTGGGATACGGGCTACTGGGATATTGCATGTACTATGGGCATGGACTTATAAACGATTTTTGGAGACAGTATTGCTGCACTGAGTCAGACTTGTATCACGACATTTGTGAGCTTCTCGTCTATCTGGGTTCATTGCAAAACAGTAAATACTAAATATTAATAAATTAAGAAAAGCTAATAAATTGGGAGTTGGACCTAATTTCAGAAAGTGGGTCCGGTCCTTCGGGACATCCATTAAAATTGGAACGATACAGAGAAGATTAGCATGGCCCCTGCGCAAGGATGACACGCATAAATCGAGAAATGGTCCAAATTAAATAAAAATAAAAAAAAAGCAAGTGGGTCCGGATACTGTACAAAGATGCAGAAGGCTGTGTCCAAGTCAATTGACTACTATCAAAGACTAGCCAGCACCGATGTAGGATCAACCCACCAGATGGATTTTCCAACAGCTATCATGTTCGCTGACGATCTAACGGTCCTAATCAGAGCATCTGATTCCTCATTCAGGACATTAGCTAAAGCAATGGAAGCGTTCAGACTAGCCTCAGAAATGAAGATCAACTGGGGAAAAAAAATTGGCTGGTGGCTATCCGAGGAAGAGCCCCCTTCACTCCAAGGCGACGAGGCGGCTATGACATGGCAAATGCCGGACACACCCACCCGCTATCTGGGCATACTAATGACGAAGGAAGGACTGGCTCCCCAAATGGGCCCATCCATGCTGGCCAAACAGATCAATAAAATCGGAAGGTGGGGCAATGCCTTCACGTCCCTTATTGGTCGAGCACTAGTCCTCAACCGAAGAGCTAGGCTTTATCTACGGACAGGAGACCCCAACAAGGACAAAGGCATATCCAAGATCGCCTGGCACTATGTTACAGGAAGGCCACGAAACGGAGGCCTAGGAATTATTGACCCCGGCACAGAAACGAAAGCCCTGCAAGTCAAATGGATCATTAAACTGCTGATGAAACCGGACAGCGCATGGAATAATCTGGCACCGGATAGTATCAGATCCGTGGTCCCAATTCCATCCCCGAACAATATGTCAGGTCTATTTTGGGTAATGAATAAAGAATGGGTGATAACCACAGGACATAGGAATCACACGAGGAACAACAGGTTCGAAGACTCTCGACTGCCCACGCCTTACTGGCCGGCATTACTTCGATCCTGGAGGAAAATAATTCCCAACAAGATAAACAGACCCAAATCCAAGGATGAAGTACTAAGGCAACCGCTCTTCGGGAATGAATGGATTAAGAACGAGGCAGACAACTCACTCTTCCTAGAACAGAGGTGGTTGTCCTGGATCAAGAACGGTATCTGGAAAAGCGACCACTTATGGAAGGAAGATAGAAAGGGCTGGGTAACGGAACAATAAGTCTGCTCCCGATTGAAAGGATGCCACAGACGAGGGACCAATCTCCAGTATATACTTAGCTGCATTCCACAGGAATGGAAAGATATCCTGGTAAAAGACGAGTCGTGGAGATCGGGTGAGTGGGGACTGATGATTCAAGAAGCAACACCCTCTAGAGCCTTTCAATTCTCCCATTGGCAGCAAGGCTCACACACTAGGGCCACTTTCCTCTCTTTTCCGATCTCCCTCACCAATACTGGTTCGCCAACTATCCTGAATTGCGATGTAGAGTCGTCAGTCTCAGAGTCCTTCCTGCTCCGGAAAGTAAGGGTCCTAGGGGCATGGCCGAAGTCAGTCTACAGACCCGACACTACAATTCGTAACTTGGAATTTGATCCAGCGGAATGGGCATGGACGCCAAAAATGGCCAGCAGACCAAAATTCCAATTCAGGATTACACAGTCAAACTTCGGTACAGACTGTCTTTAAAGACCAAAAATCCAGACCCTGTTATCAAAAACAGATGGCGGAATCTCGTCGGGCAGGAAGCAGACAAAATCACACGAATCCACTGGGATAAATTCAAACGCATCAGACCAATCAAGATTAGAAGTTTGCAGTGGCTGATCGCGTACGCAGCTCTTCCAGTGAACCAATGGTTACACACTAGGCGGAAAGCCGCAGACCCCAACAGCTCGGAGCTATGTACAGTATGCACTGAAGGCGCAGTAGAAGATATAGTTCACTGCCTGGTGCGTTGTAAAGAGGCTACTGAATACTGGGCCAGAGCTTCATCACTCTGGGATTCCCTCTTCACTTCTCCCTTCCCCAAGCAACCCATTCAACTTCTCCTCTTGACTAACATCCATGATCAGGCGCAAAAAGCAGAAAGGATCTGGTTTGAACTCATCCGGAAAGTGACCTTATGGGTCATATGGAAGGAGAGATGCAGCAGGACAATTGAGGGGCGGTCTAACCCACGGAAGAAGGTGTGGATAGAAACCAGAACTTTGACACAAGCTGAGATTCTCTGCAGATGGCGGAAGACCAAACAAGCTTCAGCAGAAGACGAAGAGCAACGTAACAAGGAGAGGCAGAGATTCTACAGGAACTGGCTGATAAATGGCAAGATTGCAGAATTGCGAGAGGACCGAGTATGCTGGAGGGAGTGGCACAATTCAGTACCAGAAAGAGGCTTTCGACAGCAGGCAACATCTGAGGGCATATTCACATCCTAAGCCTCAACAGAATGTAAGCGGCCCATCAAGGGCCCAGGGGGCACGAACAAAGAGGAAATAAGGGAGAGAGAAGGACTAGTTTGACTAGGGGAAAATACGGGAGCATGAACGCAGGTTACAAAGGAAGACTTTATCGCAGGGGGCCGCAAGCTAAATCAATGCCAGTCAATGTACAAGTTCGACTATTGGAGGTCGGGCGCACAGTCGAAGGGTTTAGGGTTTAGGGTTTATCATCGATCTTCCAAAGGGGCAGGGAGGTGTGTGGGTAAGATACAGGCCGGCAAGATTATCGGATGAGCTCTTTCTAGAGACAATGGTGCTATCTGGCAGACCTGGACCCCAGGTCTGAGAGGAAAGAGTGGGACAGGGCAAGCGGACAGTCGATCCTCCACCGCAGTGGAGCAATCAATGCTGTTCAGGGATCCCTCGGCCTGACGGAAGGAAGCGTGTGTAAGTGTTCTTGATGTAATGGTTATTTTGACTTGCTGGTGGAATAGGAACCGGACTGACGCTCCCCAGAATAGAAGGAGCTAGGACCATAAGGCCCCGTTTTTTGTTGAAAAAAAAAAAAAAAAAAAAGCTAATAAATTAATAAGAGTCTTTTTTCTATAAAGGACACGTCCATAGTATTATGAGCAAGATTGAAGATCCTCATTTTTTAAATTATTCTTATTATTATTATTTTTTAATAAGAGAAAACAGCAGTTGTTATTAGGGCTCAGTGCCCAAGGCAAAAATTAAAGTGCAAGAGTTGCAGATTCAGGGGTCGCAAGGCCTCCAATCTCACTTCTTCGAGTGGATCCCCTCCCCTCCGGAAAACCACCGGCTACAATGCAAAAACAAAGTAAAAAAAAAAAAAGCAAGTAAAAAGCCAAATGAACTTTAATGAAGAACAAATGAACACCACCATCATCAAGGAGTCAAATTTCAAGCCTTTTGGCGCATAAAAAAGTCACAAAGAGGGCTTGGTTGTTATTATTTTTCTCAACTTTCTTTTTTGTTTTTTATGTTTGTAATCGGGAACAACATACCGATGATAATAATAATGGGTAATTAGTGATTGTGAACGCCCTGGTGTGCGAACGAAACAGGCATATAGTAGTTCGAGCGCTAACGTCGCTAAGTAAAAATTCGGGTGTGTGAGGTCAGGTACTAACAGATAGCAATTAAAGAGTTTATGTGAGAACGACGCAGGGATATAGTAGTTGAGCGGCAATGAGCGCTTCGTAAAATTCGGGTGCGCAAGGTCAGATACTAGCAGATAGGAATTAAAGAGTTTGTTACAGTTTTTCTTTATGGCATTTGTGGCAAATCCGGGTCACACTCACTTCCTCTGTGGGTTCTTCCTTCTCCAGCAAAGGCATCCAGGGGAGCTGTATCCACCGTACTTTCCCACTGGCTTCTGCTGCATTTGAATCCTGCAATGGAAGAGGAGGGGAAAAAAAAAAAAAAAAAAAGAAGGGCAAAGAGGAAAAAGAAGACTGAGTCACGGAGACAAACATCAGCAATCAAAACCTTAAGGCTTGAAAGGCACAGACGTATAGCTGCTGATAGGCAAATCATGAGTTCAAATCTCATTCGATACTATTAGGGGCTAACCCCTTCTAAACATAAGGCGGAGAGAGAGAGAGAGAGAGAGAGAGAGAGAGAGAGAGAGAGAGAGAGAGAGAGAGAGAGAGAGAGAGAGAGAGAGAGAGAGAGAGAGAG